TTTAACATAGGAAGTGGGTCCTGAAACCAGTTAGATTCCTCTGTAGAGGTTCTGTAAAGGTGGGGTGGGGGGGGTTCTCACCACGTGGCTGCTGGGCTGCGGGGGCAGGCTGCGCATCATGGCGTCCATCTCCTCGAACCTCCTCAGGGTGCTCTGCACCTCCGAGTGCAGCTCCTTGTACTCGGCGTACTGGTCGTTGAACACGGCCCGGTACTGGTCCCGGGCCTCGTCCGACCGCACGGCCGGGTACTTCCTGTAGGGGTTAGGGTTAGGGTTAAAGGCCCATGAAAAGGGTTTGATCTGGACTTCAAAGACTCCCACAAAGTTTTATATAAAATATTCTGTAAAAATCACAACATACAAGATCGGATTTAAACCCGATGTAAATAGTGATTATATTGCATTTTCATTTAACCCTTTAAAGCCTGATCTAATCGATATTAGGCCCTGAAACAAAATATGGCATAGAATAAAAAATACATATTTTAAATTAATATCATTGATTAATTAATTATTATTAATTATTATTATTACCTTGCTATAAGTCATAACGATTGAGATGTAGTTTTCTGCCCGCTGTAATCAGATCTATCTGATTGTGTAAAAAAGGGTTTGAGCAAAGTTTTTACCATAAATTGAAGCAAAATATTTCAGAAACTGAATGTATAAATATGACACATGGCATTTTAGGGTTAATTAAATTTACTGATGTACATCAGTATGTGCGGGCAGTGCTTTTATTTATTTTTTATTTATTTTTATTTATTTTACTTATCTTATTTATTTGACATATTTTATTCTATTTTATTTCTATTTTAGTTTATTTTTGCTTTTATTTTTTACTGTGTACCTCATCTTTTCTTGCTGTACTTCTATTGTGTTTTCTATTTATTCTGTGTATCTTTTTGTGCAGCACTTTGGAAACCTTGTTTGTTGAAATCGTGCTATATAAATGACGTGGATTGGACAAAAACTTATTTATTTAAAAAAACTCACGAGATACTAGTTTTTTTTAACCCCTCTTTGAACTTTCTAGACCCGCCTTCTGCTATAAGCCCCGCCCCCTAACTTCCACTGTGCCCCCCCTGCTGTTAAACCAACAGGAATTTGGACAAAAATCTGCCTCAGGGCTCTTAAAAACATTATTTGTGTGCCTCAAACGTCTCACTTTAGATGAGAACTGTGTCTAGTGTTCCAATCAAAGCGACGCCGCTTTCTCCCACGTTCCCGAACGCATCGCGGCGTAGCTCTTACGCGATGTAGTCGGGCACCACCACGGGTTTGGGGATGTGCCCCGAGGGGATGGATCCCGGCACCAGCTTCGGGGGGGCGGATGTGGGCGGGGCCTTGATGGGGACCACCGAGGACCCCCGGACCTGCTGGGGGGTGCGGGGGGGCGGGGCCG